CCAAGGCATTCCATTCACCCCACGGCTCACTTTATAAAATTCTCGAGTTATTGTGCTAGTGAGAAGTGAGATAGCCCATGCACCAAAGTTAATAGAATCTGTGAGTGTATGTAGATGACTGATTTATGCTTTTGGAAGGAGTATTTGGCTACTTCATCGGTAACGATGCTAATTGTGCCTTCGCTCCGAAAGTGATCTAGATGATGGGCAGGGAAATAACGACGATGTAAAGAGGATAGGAAGCAAATGGCATTAGGCGAGAGCACATCAAGCTGGTGAGCACACACACTCCCTACCAATGGCCATTTGACGAAGAATTCTTTTCTTATTGGCATCTCGGTAGTCCGTTTGAGCTTTACTGTATTCCTGCATTACTTCCACGAATCGACGACCTATGGTCTGATGCTACAGTGGAGGCACAAAAGGCGACGCAGGAATAACAAAATTTAATGGACATTACGAAGCGAAAAAAAAACAAAAGAAACCACGTAGACTAAACTCACTTGACCCCGTTTTATTCGAAGATCTGCGACATCTCCACCGGCGTTTTCCTCCTGTTGGATGGACAGATCAAGCTCTAAAATTGATAGTCAAAAGTAAATTTTTAAAAAATTTAATGGATTTAACAGCTTCCACTGGCAAAAATGTGACGTACGCTTTAGAGCGGATCGAACTCCACCCGCACGCTGTTTGATTTCTGCCATAATTTCTTCGACTCGAGCCTTCGTTCCTAATGTAATGAAAAAGTTTAACAAAGGGGCTTAAAACAAGGTTCTGTTAAAGTTAACGACAAAAATGCTAACTTCAATCAGTTACGTACACGACAATGGGTACCGCAATCATTATTTAAAAAAATTGAAGCTTCAACCACACTTAATGCATGGAACTAAGCTGCAAGTGTTTGAGATAAAGGGGGCTGGGTGGGAAAAAAATTTGGTTTGGTATAAAGACCTAAAAAATATGTCCGAGTTAAAGGGTCTACAAAAATGGCAAGAAAATAATAAGACTAGTCAAATGATAAGCATTACGAGTAAATGCCATGTGCTAGTTGCAATTTAGTATAGTGGTCATGCTTAACTAATCGTAAAGACTCAAGCAAATGTTGTGATATCATGCCCACAAATCTAAAACTCGGTTTGCGAAAGGATGCAATCTAGCCACGCACTTACTTTCATCTTGGTTTGGAGCGGCGAGTATTTCGCTATGCTTCTGTTTAATCTCAGCAACAAGGGCGGCGATTTTATCAATTTCACCACGAAGTTGCTCGACCTGACTAAAAAAGCCGGATAGATAGCTGCTGTCCACGAAACTGTCGTTTGAAATGCGGTTATTGATACCGTTTTCCTATGCGTGTTAAGGTTAACAGCCTGTATAATACCTCTTTTAAAGCTGCTAATAGGTCTTTTGGCATCTTGAATGGATAGGAAAACTGCAGCTACTTGTTTTCGCGTAAAATGGCATAAGTCGAGTATCTGCTTTTAGTGACCTTGAAAACAGGCAAATATTAATTTATGCTTCACCTAATCTCTAAGGTTTATTAAATTTTTTAGGAAAATTTATAATGTAACTCATAATTTTTTTAACGTTCTGCTAATAACTAATTATATTTGACTTTAATTTTGGTAACTTTAGTTTTTTATTTTATCAAGGCAAAGGTAAATATCTTGTTTTAATTCTCGTGTGGATTCTTGATCTTTTGAAATGGCAATTAGATGGATTGGCGCGGCTTCGTGGTGTAAGCTGTGTCGTTAATTTTTTTTCTTATCCTTGGTCTTATCTCCTCTATTCTAGGTAATAGCACAAGTGGCGTTTGTTCTGAGTGCAATAAGGGTTGGCTTATCTTCCGTTAACTCAACTTTTAGGTCTTCTTGAATCCTCTAACAGTGCTGATGATAGGTACTGTTCTTTACTCATTAAATCTATCTCCCCAGTTTTTGTTGTGCCCCACTTACTTTGCCTTCTGCATTCTTTAATGGATTGCTTCATTTAACTCTAACTGGCAAGCCAGACGGATCCGTTATTGTTCATGAACATGTAAGCCGACCAAATTATATTGTGCTTTTGCTTGAAGTCAACGGATGTAAGATTTGCGTTTAGAATTCGTTACACATCGGTGAAATACATTGGCTTTGATTCTCATTACAAAATTGTAAGTTGTTATCACGCATCATTCACCCCAGGTCCTATTTTCGTATAACGATTGCATTGTTACAGTGCCCCTGGATACGCTTAAACTCATTGTTGTGGAACTCTTGACTGGGAAAGGTGAACATTCAACACTTGTTAATTGATTGGTTAGCAGATATTGCTGGTTTGACCGCGGATCTCCCAATCTTTGTTCATTACAACCCAA